ATGACTCATCCACAAACACCACCTCAGTGTGCTAGATGCCCAGGCACGTGAGGCAGCGATCGTGACCATCACCCAGTGCCAGGTAACGACCGCATCCAGAAACGCCTGGGTGATACGTTGTCTATAGCAAGAGCCACATCGTCTTTACAAAGACGTAACGTCAAGTTTGCCACGCAACGTCGTCTTTAAGAAGATGCACCCGTGAATGCTCTTTTAGGGAAAAAGCTCTTTTAGCGTGCTGAAGCGCACAGGGGAGATGGCCGCCTGCAACACAAACAGGGGGTAGTGCAGCCTGATGTGTGCAACCCACTCGACACGGGAAACCACCACCTGAAGCGCCGTACCGCCAACACAAAGAGCTCTCAAAGAGTGCGCTGAACTCGTTCAGTCTTCTTCTCTCAGTAGAGTAGTCAGGAGCAGAACGATGTGATCGCTCGGCTCCGAAGCGAAAAGCTGAATATGCGCTGCACCTGCTGCCTACTTATACTCACGCTGTGATCAGCAGCAGCTGGATGCAATAATCACATGCCAATGTGCATTGGTTCGTTTAGTTTACACTCGAAGATTTTTTACAAAGAAGTTAATACTTAGAATGATATAGTAATACTTAGAATATTAGAATGATTTCTAAAGGATAATGTGACATTGAAGACTGCAGTAATGACTGCTAAAAATTTAACTTTGCCATCACAGAAATAAATTACATTTTAAAATATAAAGAAAACAGTAAATAATAATATTCAAAATTTTACTGTAATATTGTTTTTACTATATTTTCTGACTTCTTTCACATTTTCACAACATTAATACTCCCAAACTTTTGAACAATAGTACATATAATTTACTCATGATTTACATTTTCTGTTCTCTTACAAATTTATTTATATTTATAACTATCTATGAGAAATTATTTGCTCCCTGGATCCAATCCAGGGTCCAGATTTAGACTTTGCTCTGCTAATTGCTGACATCTATCTTAAGGCTAGAATACACTCCAAAACTTTAAAAATCAGAACAGAATTTAAAACACTGTGCATCATACACCTACCGACTTTGTAATAGTCACAGAGGAAAAACTATGTTTGGAATCTTCCGACTGGATGGAATCATAGTCTGAAGCTGAAAAATCGGAGTCTGTGACCATCAGTTTCTATGGATTCTGTCAACTCTTATCTGCAGACTAGCTCTGACTTTTGGCAACTAGCGTCGACTTATCCAAACTGTAAATCGGAGGAAAACTGGGGGGAAAAATCACAGTGTGTATTCCAGGCTTTAGACAAAAAAGATTTGTGGTTCCATGAGCAAAGATGGAAAATATAAAATTGTGTTCTTCCAGAAGGTTTCTACACCAGCCAAGCAACTGCCATTGAGATTAATAGGATGTTAACAGAATAGCCTGGTTCAACCAGGACAAAGACAGACTCATCTTTCTTTGGTAAACAGAACCTATATTCCCTGACTGAGACAGGATACACATCTCTCACTGGGCTTTAAATTCTAAAAAAGCACCATCAGGAGAGCCAAGGGAATAGGGTCAGCCAAAAATACAGCATACACATGCAGACAGAGATAAATGTAAAGATGCACACACACAAAAGAACCAAACATTAATCTAATGCCTGAGACAAAGAAGAAGTGACACACACACAAAAAAATAATATATATATATATATATATATGTATATATATATATATAAAAAAGATGCACAAACACAAACTTACTGACCTGAGGCCGTAGAGCACAGTCCCATCAGGATGCAGGCGAATCATGCGGTTCTTCACTGTGACCCCATGGACAAAAGATTTCTTGTCATTTATAAAGTAAGTATCAGGCACCCAGAGTTGATCAGCCACACGGTTATCCAAAGTAAGATTGAGAGGAATCCCTGTGTAGGACAGGCGCTTATCGCGCCAAGACTGCTGGAAATACATGGTGATGGTATAGTCCTGAAAAACACACACAAAACTGTTCATTTTATCAGTTACAAAGTATTGGACACTTCACATTAATGCCAGATTGTCACTGCGTTAGATACAATATATAAAAACAAGTGGCATTTACTGCAAAGAAAGACAGCATAAGCACATATTTCAAATAAAACATATTTGGTTTCAAATGATAAAATGTTAAATTTACAGTTCAAAATGAAGACAAAAACGATTCAGACTTTTTCTGGTTGTCAAGTGCATGACTGCCTTCAAGTAAACATGGAAAACTCGGACCTCCAAGTCTGGCATTCATTATTGCAAGAAGTCATGCATTCAAGTTGGACACATAACAAGGGAACAGCATAAACAAAACAAAAGATTTATATTGTGAAAATCACATCAATGCCATACCAAAGATGGATTATACATTTTATCATTTATAAGAATATACTCGTGCATGAAGGGGCAAATCGCTAAAATCAGCAAATAAAACGAAAACGAATAAAAGGAAAGAACGTCAAACAGATCGAAGAAAGATGGAGTGTGTTTAGATATATCCTGTTGACTCTGTTACTACTCACAGGAGATGTACATCTAAATCCGGGTCCGACTATACCTCATTTGAATGCACCAGTGTCACTTACTATGGATGGTGCACCTCAACAAGCGAAGGGCGATTGCCTCGCAGGAGTGTTGCAGAGAAATCAGGATTTTATGCATCTAAATCGCAGCCAACGATAGCCAATTTGAGCGTCCCTATGCCACATGCTGTTGGCGGTATATCTTATCAAATAAAAGGCGAGTGTTTCGTTGGTGTGACGCAGAGAAAATTTGACTGTATACATCTGGATCCCGCACCGATGATGGTCGATTTGGGCGGCCTCATGGTGCAAGTTGCTGGTGGTGTGCATCATCAGATGGAGGGTGGGTGCTTGGCCCATGTGTTGTGGAGCGATTTGGATTCTCTGCGTCCGGGGATTGGTTTGGAGGTGACTGGCTCAACTGTTTCTGTGGCTCAGGGACTTGTTGATGGTGTGTCTTATCGGGTGAGGGGGTGAGTGCTTTGATATGGTGACGCAGAGCAACCAGGGTTCTATACAGCCTTTAAGGACAGTCTTGAGTTGCTTTACCATCGGAAAAAGTGCTGACTGTGTCCTCTTTGCAAATTTTGAATCAAATAAGCTCAGAGGTGAGATTTAAGTACAGAGTAGCCTAAATCCGGCAATTGTCAAACAGAGACAATTGAACTTCTTAAAACTGTAAATCATGCAAGGATTCTGTGGGACATTGATGCCAAACCAAAAGGATTGTTGGGTGGTCTTTTAAATATTCGTAGCATTATGGCAAAGTGTGATGAAATGAAACATCTTGTCTCAAATTTGGATTTTTTATGTCTGACAAACATGGTTGTGTGCTACTTCACCATCAGCAATGTTGTGTGTTCCTGGTTATATTTTTAGAAGGGATAGGTTGGTGGGTAGAGGTGGGGGTAGGGCTGTCAATTTTTTTTGGTGCTGTTTTTTTTCTAATTGTTTAAGCAACTTTATTAATTATATATGGTATATAAACATTATTTTAAACATTTTTCAAAGATAGTCGTGTTATTTTATTATGCTTTGAAGAAACGTGCATAATATTTTGCTCGATGCGCCCTCTTGTGGCTTCAGGAAAGAAGCCAAAAGCTTTTTTTCCCCCCCTAACTGAAATTATGCCTTTTAAATTAAAATATAATTCAAATTTTTATCATATTTAAGTGGAAAATTCAAATTTAGTTTTTCAGTAATTTTGACAGCCCTAGGGGGTATTATGTTTTATATTAAGGATAGTAGCCTATTCGGTGTACTGAATTCACAGAATTTTTTCACCACAAATGTCTTATAATTATAGCAGTTTATCGGCCACCTTTGGCAAAGAATGAATTTTATGATGCTTCTTAAATTATGTGATTTTACTAAAGAAGTTATTCTACTTGGAGACTTAAATATAAGTTGGTTAGATAAAACAGGAAGGAAGAAATTGAAAAATATTTCCAAGAAAAAAACATCGTCTTATATTCGGGACAATATGGTAGTAACTTTGATCTGAAGCAGCTTGTAAATGGACCCACAAGAATAACTAGATCATCTGAAACACAAATTGATTTAATTTTTTACAAATAAACCTGATCACGTACTTGAGACTTTTAATATGATTACAGGATTGTCAGATCATAATTTAACTTTGGTAGTAAGAAAACTGACAAAGAAGAGCTTTAGCCATCAAACTATAAAAAGAAAATCATGGAATTTTAGAATACCAAAAAGTGATTTGAATAATTTAAAAAGGGCATTAGAAGATATAAAGAAAAAACATGTGAAGAAAGTGGTAAATATAGTGAAATTTAATTTAGCGAATTTCAGATTTATCAGAAATAGTTTGACCAACGAAGCAGCAGTTCTATTCATGAATTCAATGATTATTCCTCATATCACATATTGTATGACTACCTGGACTCAAACATGTAGGTCTTTTCTTAAACCAGTAAACGCAGCCACATTTGCACAGAGGCTTCTGCTTAAACCCCATCTCCCAGTCACCACGTTTCTCAGCTGAATAAGTGGTGAAACAAATTAAGTTGAGATCCCATTAAACCAACATGATAAATGAGAGTGAAGGTTAAACAGACAGAGTGGATTCTCCCTGTCTCTCACAGACATTTACAAACCCCTATAAAACAATCACAGAATCTGTCTGTCTGTTTAAAGACACATTTAGACTGATAGGCAGATAAAACTTATGGAGCTAATGCAGTCCAGAATCAACTTCATGCATCTTTAAAAATCAACACTGATATAGGGAAAAAAAAGATAACAACAACTTCTGACTGCATTAAATTAGAACTTATTACTGTACACCAGAGGTTCCTCACCTTTCTTGTCAGACGCAAAATATTTACTCCATAATCAGATTTTAAGTTAAGATTTTATTAATTTAACATCAAATTTGCATATTCACAGTTCTCTGATGATGGTTTATGTTCATGTGACATGCAAAGCAACAAATATTTGATAACTGTAACTATTTTATTCTACTCTGCAAGTTATAATACATGTTTGTCTTAAATTTTTCTCTTTCCAACGTTCAACCACCCAACTTAGAATATTTCAAGTAGTAATGTTGAAAATAGAAATGTTGAAAAATATGCAGATGTAAACAAAGTTCCCAAATGAGAGTTAAACTCCCAACACATGCAGAGACTAAGTTTGTGAGAAGCAGCATTTACTGTTGTGGCCATATCACATCTAATAATCATACAGTGGAGATTTAGAACCAATCATGAAAAAATTGACTTTTGACCCTTTAATGTTTTCTTTGTTCCTGTCCATGTTAACATTATTGCTGTGATCAAAACAGGACAGTTCAATCTCCCGCTGTTCTAGGTTCAACTGAAAAGAATGAAATCGGTGCTGAATGCTGTGTGCAATTTATTTCCCTACAGTTTAAAGATACAAACTGTTTAAAAATATAACACAACAAATTAAAGAGACTATCTGTCCTGCTGTGGCTACAAAAAAATATTGAGAATACATTATACCCGACTGAATAAATGTTATTTAAAGCAATTTAATTTCTGTAATTTTCCTTTTTTTATAAGCATTTGAATAGTGCAATAGATCTAGATATATATTCTTGTGATCTAAGGTAGTAACAGTTTAGCACAAGGCGTTGTTTGCTGCAATGCAGTAAAATTTAATTCTATCAATATTAACCCAGGGAATATGCAACATTTTTCATTAAACATATAAAAGGAACAGCAGTGATGATTAAAAATGAAAATAATTTTGATGAATTAGTATTCACCATATGTGTGATGTACTAAAAGCACTTCAGATGTTTCAGTTGCCCTAAAGGGGTGCAGGTAGGTCCTGTCGTAGCACTGCTACTCCTCCACACTCATCTGTACTGCAAAGTCTCTGTTAAGATTCTTCTCACAGAGCACACGCACATCATCCAGCACAGTTTGCAGATTTAAAACTGCCTATGCAATCACTTCATAACATGCCTTTGTGGGGGAAAAAAACGTCCTAAAAACATTTTTATTCTGAGACGATGTACTGCATGAATCCATGAACCTTAAACTGAATTTTGCAAATGCTACTAAGATGACTGAGATCTTGTTAAATATAACAAGTGACAAGAACTTTGGGATCCTTCAGGAGGGAGAGATGATACATGCAGTTTTGCTCACATTTGATGTTAGGAATAATAGTATCTATCATACTTTCTTCTTTTCACCTCACTGAATAATACTTTTGACATACGATACCATTCAAAATATTTTTTTATGTTTTTGAATGAAGTCTCTTATGCTCACCAGGACTGCATTTATTTGATCGCAAATACAGAACAAACAGTAATATCATTAAATATTATTAAAATTTAAAATGTGTCTATTTTACCATATTTTAATAATGATGTAAATGTAATTTATTCTTGTGATGCCATTACTCTGGTTTTCAGTGTCACGTGATCCTTCAGAAATCATTCTAATATGCTGATTTGCTGCTGAAGAAACATTTCTTATAATCAGTGTTGAAAACAGTTGCGCTGCTTAATATTTTTTGTGGAAGTTGTGGTTTTTTTCAGTCTTCTTAGATAAATAGAAAATTTAAAAGAACATCATTTATTTAAAAGTCTGTCCCTTTCAATCGATTTAATGCATCCTTGCTGAATAAATGTATTATTTCTTTTAAAAAAATCTTTCTGACCTCAAACTTTTGAACAGTAGTGTGTTTAAAATAAAATTATGTATAATAAATGTATTAGTAATATTACTGTTATTATTATTCTATATTTCTATGTAAACAGTTCATAAAACAATTCTCACATAAATAATAACAGGTTGTGATATTACAAACATGTTCTTTTTTTAGAAGTTTTGAGTACAGTAAGTTACAATATTTTTCATAGTTCTGAATAATTTTATATCAAAAGATCAAGGAAATGATATTTCTTATAATATCACCCTTTATTTATAA